GCCAACTTTCCATGGTCTTATGGATAGGCACGACATGCTCTCCAACTACCTCCTATTCTATCGACTATTCCATCTAGCACCCGACTGATTCCAAGAGACTTCATCGCATCAAGACGACTACAAAGAAACTACCAACCGATCCCAATATGGTCTCTCAACCCATTGGAACAAAGAAGACGCCCGTTACGTCCACGGCGAAGAAGACACCTGTGAAGAACTCGACAAAGAAGGCGCCCGTCAAGGCCCCGGCTGTTCAGCCACCCAAGAAGCCCATCAACACAGCCCTACAGAAGAAGCCAGTAACCACAACCCAAAAGAAGCCAGTACCCACCACAGCACTCAAAAAGACCACAACAGCAGTCGGACAAAAGAAGCCTCTCCCAGCCGCAACAAAGAAACCGATCCCACAGCCCCAGCAGCAAGGCTGGCTCAGCAAAGGCCTCACCGCCGCACAATCCGGAATCGGCAGTGCAGTCGGCGCAGCCACCACCGGTATCAGCAATGCAGCCGGCGCCGTTGTAACAGCTGCAGGCAGTGGCGTCGCCGGAGCAGGCAGGGGAGCAGGTGCAAGGTAAAAAAAAAATCTTACTATAGTTTTACGATACCAAGTACTCTGGGCTAATTACATTGTAGCATCACAAATACATCTCGTACCTGGGGCGATATGGTCCGCGAGTACGGTAACTCGCTAAAGGATATGACCGGTGCCACGGGCAGTCGCTCAACTACACACAAGAATCCTCTTGGCTTGAGCACAAGTGCCGCGGGGGGTATGGCGTCCATGGCGAGTAGGCCTGGTGTCCCTGGTCTTTCTGGAGGCTCGGCTAGGACTGGTACGGCTAGTAACCCATTGGGCTTGTAGGGCTAGAGGAGAGTGCTTTTGTTTGAATCCAGAGATTTTCCACTGTTGGGAAGTGGGTTAGTACGGTTTGGATATGTTAGTTTTTTCTTGTTTATTGTGTAGTTTACTGTTCGGTTGTATTTTTAGAAAGGTAGTTACATAAAACGGTTCGTTTCAAATAAAAGCAAGGGTCATGTGTCATAACAAGTTGTAGATGGAGTGAACACTTAGTGGCTCGATCTTACTCGGGATACAATGTAGGATGTATTATTCATCACATAGAAAAGGGCGGTGCGCCTAAATTTCAAAAAAAAAAACAATCAACACAGTTAACCTCCATCACCTTGGCGATGGCTATTGAGAATTCTTACACGATAGACTTATATTTAATTGACATCAACAAAACAGGCAGTAACCCGCACATGCGCAAATAACTCTAGCAGTATTTTGATTCATAATAGCAGCTAGCCAAACACCAAAAGGTATCACTCGATCGTGCAATCAACCTTGCAAACAAACACGACTTTCCCCCTCGTCCCTCCCAATGTCGTGAACGTAAACTCTAAAAACCAAAAAAAAGTGTGGAATATACATAGCCTTGTGTACTTTCTCTCAATGGCATTCAAGACATTAATAAACAAGGAATGGGAAAGGAAACATGAAAACTGTGATGAAGAACCCAAAGAAAAAAAAGAATCTCGCTCCATTGGAGTGCTACAAGGGAAGACACCGACCGGTCGGACAGAAACAGACATTCCTGCAAGAAAACAAGAGAAGAGAAACACACCACCGAATGACGAGAATAACAACAAGACACGGCATGCAACGACGTCTCCACCTCCATCAATTCGTGCCTTGACATTTTTGCCCCTTTTGGCCAGCCTCGCTAGTTGATGCTTGAACAGAGAAAGAAGAAGGAGAGAAAGAGAAAAAAAACATACACATATACGCAAGTGCATGGTGAAGGAGATGACGCCGCCCAATGAGACTTTGGTACAAAGACTGAAGAAGATGTTACTAACACAGATGATTCAGAACAATTGGTGAAATACACTTCGTATTTTCTTCACCGCCCAAATAGACCACTGCCAACGCTGATTGTACCAAGGCCATTACGCTGGGTCATTGGCGCTCGTGCTGCGTCTGGTCGAGCTGGACCGGCCTGACCGGGGGCAGCACCGGGCGCTGAGTTCATTGGCCGGATGCCATTACCACCCCAGCGTTGACCAGTGTGCTCGTGGGGTAGATCTATGTGCTGTGCCACGGGGCTTGACATCATACTATATGTCTCTCGGCTCAAGACGCCCATGTTGCCACGGGGATCAGAGCCAGGCACGTCACCGTATGCTGAGTGGCCGGAGGGTGCGCGCTTCATATGCAGAACCGGTGATTCAGCATCGCCTAGGAGACCATTGGTGTGGTGGGCGTTGGACGAAGGAGGATTGGAATTTGCTTCGATTGTGGAAGCAGAGCCGTTTGGAGCACTCAGATCAACCATGCGACGTTGGCCAGCTGGAGTCTGATAGTTGGGTACGCGAGACGGTCCAAGAGGGTAGCGGCTCTCTTGTTGATGTGAGGGATGCCGTGGGTTGGCCCATGGTGTACTTTCCAAGAATTGTTCTTCCGCGGCTGCTTCGTCTGCTGTTGTAGTTCTGTTGTAGGTACGAAATGATGGGGGCGGAGCCGGAGCACGAGTCGCAATCTGCAGCGTCGAATCAGCTGCAAGTTCTCCACCAGTTGCATTCAGCCACTCACCTTCATTGCTCGAAGATCTTCATCGATTTCTGACGGTTTTGCTGCACTAATATCTGGAGCGGCTGGGAAGCCAACGTACTTGGCAACGCCTGACAGTACTGAGACCTCGAGATTGTACGCTGTCTGGTGTCTTATTTGGTCTGACCGCTTCTCGGGCAGTCGCACCATGTATTCAGTCTCGTCACAGCCGAGCTGTCGTCTGCCGCGCTGCAATTCAAACACTCGCTGGTTGCACTCTTCGAGTATTTCTTCTCGTATATGCCGCACAGTCTGAAAGTACTGACTGTGCATCTGGTGCCGTTCTGCTGCTGTTATTATCTCGAGGTTCTTCTGCTTGTATTCTAACAGCCTTGTCTCGTAGGCGATCTTATCTGCGCGCCGGTCGTCTATGCATTTGATCATTGCGACGTACTCAGGGTGCACACAGTTGGGTTGCTTGAGCATCTCGAGCTCCCGCTCGAGTTGTGCTATTTGTTCGTCACAAAGTCTAATTGCAGTCAGTACCAATTTCATCTGTCCAAGAGCCCAGAAGATCACTCACTTCTCTCTGAAGAGCTTGAACTTCTTTTCAATCTTTGCGAGTTCATCAATGGCAATCTTCTTCTTAGTGACTTCCTCATCTAGGACTCCGCTGTCTTCTTCTTCAGGGTCGCATTCAGCCTCGCCGTCTTGTGGCTCAGCAGCCGCAAAAGGTTCAGTGTAGGCATAACTAGCGTCCTCTGTCTTTCGTTTGCCTCTTCTGCCACCTTTCCGCGGTTTTGTGTGCTTTGCTACGGTTGCCATTTGGTTGACGGTTTGTGCAGCGATGTTAGCTCGACGTTCTTCAAGTTCCATTTCCTCACGCGCAAGCACAGAAAGACTCTCTTCAGCGTTGTCGAGCTCCTCATCCGCGTCCACACGGCCTTGTCTATTGGCTGCGGCGTCCGCTAGGCCATCAAGCGCCGAGCTTCTTGCAGGCTCACTCCTCTTTCGCAATGGTTCTTCCTCGTCTTGCTCGCCAACAGGGCTCCTTTCGGCGCTTGTTCTTTTTCGTTTCTTGCCCGTGTGTTCCAGGCTAGCAGCCTCTGTGGTCGCAATAAGCGACAGAGAGTGTAGGGGGTTCTCTGCTGTAGCTGCTGCATCAATGGGTGCCTCATCCGCACCAGCAGAGGGTGTGGGAGGAGTAGACTCGTCGTCTTCTATGTTTTTAGAGTGCGCGAGTTTGCTGGGGGTTCGTGTGTAAGCCGGCTCGGATAGCAAGGATGTCTCAGGGACTGTTCGGGTCAGTTTTCGTGGAGTAGTGTCTAGGCGCTCTGTCTCGGCCTCCGAATCGTCTTCGTCCATTTCTGCTGCTGGCGTCTGCCTCGGGGTGGGTTCAGATTGGTCGTCTGAGGCGTCTCCAAGCTCACTCAAGCTGCTGGAGCCGTTATCTGCGGCGTCATCGAAGCCGTTCGAAGCTTGCTCTACAGGCATTGCCTCTGCAATGGCTGCGCTTGAAGCTTTCATCGTTGACAGCATCGCGGCCGCGATGGCGGTAGGTTCTCCGGTGGCTGTTGACTCGTGTGAGGGGGAGGCAGTAGAGGAGGGGTTAGATGATCCCGTTAGGAGCGGTGACAGGGCGTCTGCGGGGGGGGGGGTGAGTTAGACCGAGTGCGTTTCGTGCGGTGGTGATATGAGGCGTGGTGGGAGAGGGAAGTTCGCGACTGTGTCGTCGCCTCGGTTGACGCAAAGATCGACAATCTCTCGAGCGACCCAAGGACACGACAGACTGCGCAGAGCCGGCGAGATGGACCCGGTGGGTTATCGGGTTCAAAATAAAAGGTTGTATGACGTACTCTGTGGCTGCGCGACTGACTTGCTAAGATCGGGAGCTGTTCTTGATGTGCTCCGCCTGGTGTGATGGGTCGCGCTCATAGTGCGCCTGCGCCAGATGCCTTGTCAACTCGTGCCCAGTACAGTGCGAGGATGTTGGGTAGGACGCAGTTGGTGCCCGCGATGCAGGAACGGCGCTATGGGGGGCAGCGGGCGGTGGGCGTGGGGAGCAGCCAAAAACACTGCTGCCGCTGTGGAGGACGTGGGCGCCGAGGGCGAGGGTACGTGCCGAGATGTTTTTGGCGTCGGACCGGACAAGGGCGCGGTAGTGTGGGTGAGGACGTGTGTGCAAACGCGAGACAGCGACTGGCATGAGTGTATCGGCGGTGAATGCAGCAGGGCAGCTCTGTCGAGAGGGTGTAAACTGCGCTTTGAGGCGGGTCGATGGCCGGGAGAGGCCCTGAGTGTCTTGCGAATGACCGCACTCTCTTAGGGCGGGCGGTAAGGTTCTGCCGCTTGTTCGCCCGTTTGAGGCTAGCGTGCGCTCGAGGTGAAGCGTCTCCACCAAAACTTTTTGACGAGCTTGCTGCACAGCAACGTCGCAATCGCCGCCATGGGAAAATCAAAGGAGAAGCGCGCTGCAAAGCCCGAGTCGCCTAATAAAAGCGCAAAGTCTGCCAATTCCTTCATCAAAGTCGACAAGGCCGCGTTTGATCCCGCCCTAGCCTCGTTGTTTGCAAGCAGTGTACGTTTACTATTACAAATGTCTACCCAAGTGCGTGATTGCTGATTGAAATCTTCAGGCGGGACCAGTTCAGCCACCTCCAAAGTCTCGGTACCAGGCGCGCATACAGAAGCAAACGACCGAAGAGTCGAGCGAAGAGGAAGATGAGGGCGATGCCAACGATGCTGAACTAAGTTCGGCATCTGGCAGTTTACCCTCGGATGATGAGGACGAAGAGGATAAAGACGAGGATGAGGATGAGGACATGTCGGATGCCAGTGGCAACGAAGAGCCTGAGAGTGAGATCATTCTAGCAAAAGTGCGCGAGTCGGGGTTGGACGGGACACAGGATAAGCAGAAGAAGCGAAAACGGGGAAACAAGGAGGAGATTGAAGATGCGTACATGCGGAAGCTGGCACAGGAAGAAGAGAAGGAAGAGCAACAGAGGCAGAAAAAGCGCAAGACCAAAGAAGTTGTTAACGATGATGAGGATGAGGATGCAGACAAGGACGACAAGTCCTCTGACGACGCCGAAGATAACGATATTGAAGATGGTGACACCAAAGGGGACTCTGGTGAGGCCGAAAAGACCTTTACCATTCCCAAGCACGAGTCACTCATGGAGGCAACCGACGGCAGCGCAGCAGAAGTGGAAAAGGCGGCCCGCACTGTCTTCCTTTCCAACGTGTCCACCGAGTGCATCAACTCCAAGTCGGCAGAAAAGACCTTAAAGAAGCATCTCGAGTCCTTCATTGCTGATCTTGCAGACAATAACCCCCCACACAAGATTGAATCAATACGTTTCCGCTCTACAGCTTTTGGCAGTTCGCTCCCTAAGCGCGCTGCTTTCGCAAAGAAGGACATTATGGACGCAACAACAAAAAGCACAAATGCTTACGCAGTCTATACGACAAAGGTGGCCGCAAGAGAAGCCGTCAAGCGACTCAATGGCTCCGTCCTACTCAATCGCCATTTGCACGTCGATTCGGTCGCTCACCCAGTAAAGGTCGACCATCGCCGCTGCGTTTTCGTGGGTAATCTTCCTTTTGTAGACGACGAATCACAGATGCCTGTGGCCGAAGGCGAGAAGCCCAAGAAGAATAAGCCTTCATCTGATGTCGAAGAGGGTCTATGGGTCCATCTCTCCAAATGCGGCACCATTGAAAGCGTGCGCGTAGTTCGCGATGCAAAGACCAGAGTAGGCAAGGGCTTCGCCTATGTGCAGTTCACAGACGAGAATGGCGTCGAGGCCGCCCTGCAACTCAACGAGAAGAACTTCCCCCCAATGCTTCCCCGTAAGCTCCGCATCACGCGTTGCAAGGCTGAGAAGAAGAAGGACAAGCCGCGTGGACCTCCGCCCTCGTCGCAAAAATCGCCCAAAGCCAACGGCAAAGCGGGCTATACACCCAAGTTGAGCGAAGAGCAGAAATCGCTGCAGGGTCGCGCGCGCTCCATGTTGGGCAAAGTCGCAAAGGCGCAGACAAAGGAGGGTTTTGTATTTGAGGGTCACAGAGCGAGTGAGAGACAGGGCAAGAGTGGCCTCAAGTTCAAGGGTAGCGGCGGAGGCAAGAAAAAGGGTCCCAACGGACGTAAAAGTAGAAGTGCGGGGTGGAAGAAATCCGGTGGGAAGAAGTAAGACGGGTTTCCTCCTAAAGCATCTTCAGCATCGTCCCCTTTTTTGCTTTTTTTTTTCATAATCTTCTTTGCGCAAACCGATTGCTGCGCAGCTTGTAGTCTTAGAAAGCATTCTTGCTACGCACAATGTGCTTACATATATGCATAGACTTGTACAAGCCACATCATGTCTGTTCAAGTGGACTATGCAGGTCTGTAGTACAACTATGGGTGCTGAACTGTGTTTTTTTTTGCACCAACATGTATGAACAGTGGAGATTGACCTTCCATTTCTACAAGTTCATGTCCACCATGCTCTGCCGGTGACGTGATTATGCTGCAATTGCCGATTGCAGGAAAAGAAGGAGAACATGGAGCCGGTGAGTTGACACCTAAAATGAAACGTGACCCTGTCATCATATGATCGGAGACGCCGGCCTGCCCATGGGATGCATAGAGTGTAACAGATGGCGTATAGCCATGCTGGTAATATCGTGTGTAATTGATGAGAATTAGTTTTGCTAACTGTCAAGTGTGATCTCCGTGGTAAGGATGATGAGTGCCTAGCGCATGGCCATGCTACAAAAAAGTAAGATTTAGGTTTGCATGCTTATTGGTGGGTAACAAGACACCAGCGATAGTTGAATAGGATGACGTTGCATGACCCCGGTCTGTTGGCCTGACGGTGCGAGCCGAAGGTTTGGTGGCCGAGTTGACGGGCTGTCGTTGCTGCCACGGTGCGAGACTGGCTGTTTCTGATAGTGTGGAACGCATTTGGGCTACGAGCTTGAACGTCTGGGGGATCGACGAAGCAAAACTTTAATTGCACATCAATCACCACAAGAGCGGCAAACAAGGCGTAGGATCAATGCCGAAACAAGCGTGTGAGAGTGTGCAACAGTCGAGATTCATCCCTGGAACCCTTCATACGACTAGCCGTCGTAGCGAGTAGATGGGTTTATTCGGAAGTTTGGCTGGCGACAAGGCCCGATCCGAGGACACAGGCGTTTCGACCGCAACGGGTTTTCGGGTAAGCCGAACTAGGCACACTTGGAGCTGTAGGTCTGACAGGGTCCATTGAGGGTAAAGATCCTGCAGTCGGTTGCCCAAGTCATATATTTCCAAAACTTGGATGAATCTGGGAAAGGGTAATACAAAGGCGGCGAAGACCGAGTGTAGCATGTGGCACCGAGCTAGGTATTGCCGAGCTTTCCTACAATCATGTGTTTTGTACCGGGCGGTTCTCGCGTGCCGGCACAGCAGCTTGTGGTAACCTTGAACGGACGCGTGGGTAGGTGTGGGTGGAGGGGTTATGCAAGTCAGCGGAAGATGTAACCCCAACAGAACAATGCGATGATCAATAGCCATTGATACGCTGCATGCCGTAGGTAAGCAAGGCTGACAGATATCTAACCGAAGTGGACCGATGGCATTGGGGTCCATGGATTCGCATGTTGCACAGACACAGATGTTGCGACGCCTGGAAACAGAGGCATGTGTTTGACCATGTGGAACTTGCGGAGATGATGTGCAGGATGCAGATGGGGATTGCGGCATGGTATTCGTCCGTCTCCCATGATGTACCCACGCCAATGGTAGTAAATAAGTAGGTGTGGTTTGGGCAATGGTGAGGCTTGTGCTTGTGGGTGTTGCCAGGGATCATGGCACGTTGCTGCCCTTACAGCGAGTGTGTAGTGGTTGCATGCTGCTATAGAGTTGTTATGGCTTTGGTGTTTAGCCGACGGAGGAAGCACGTGTTTTGGTGAAAGCGCCGAATTGTCAAAAGAAAAGAGTGACCTCACAATGCGGCAGGACCATGGCGGCGGTCCCGAGACGGAAGCTTTGAACGACGCCGCCAAAGTATGACACAGAAGATGTCAGTGGCTGATGAAAGTGCTGTCGGCCTTGAAACGCGCTTTTAGGCCGACGGGCGAGCAGAGAAAGCCAGGGACTGATACGTGAGAAGGGCACGTCCGTTACTGGGAGGGCTGAGGCGTTTGGGTGGCGCAAGTGGAGGGTGCGCGGCAGGATGGGAAGCGTTTGCGCGCAAGCGTATTGGACAGAGGGGGCCAAAGAATGCTTGCATTTGCGCCCGATTGTGCAGGTAGGAGGGGATAATGTGACCTGGATGCACGTGCACTAGTGTTGGGACCCAAGCAATGTACTACATACATATGTATTACAAGTGTGTGTACATTCATGTATGTACACATGTACGCAGTACGTATGTATGTAGTGTTGGAGTGAAGGCCAGCAGGCATAGTTGACTAGCAGCATCGCATAACATTGTTCTCTGCTACTGTGGACACGGCGGAGCAGCGCTAGGCCAGGTCGCAGCAAAGGCAGCGCTGAGACACGGAGATGCGGACGAGACACGAGCTGAGCCAATGGAAGCCGGCACACGCTTCTACGTACTTGGGCGACGCGCGCAAAAGACACGACAGGCGCGAGGCGGCGCGTCGGTAGGCGGGGAGATAGGTAAAAAGGCACTGCGGCGGAGGAACGGGCTGTACGGGCTACACGGGAAGAGGGTACCTGCACAAATCACGGCCGGGTGAGCTGCCGCTCTCGGAGGCATACGCGTCTGAGGGTGAAGGACGGCGGGTGTGGAGCATGAGCGTCTGTCCAAAGTTTGGTATCACGACACATTGGCGGCAGATTTGTCACGAGGGTGATGCTGTTGAATGTCTCCATACTGGAGAAGCGCCTTGGGCTGCGCGGGCGAGGACAGGCGGGAGTGCATATGTGGCGCGCTAGGCCGCATTGGGGCATCCAAGGCTCGCCGGCTCTGGCTGTCTGGGGGGCGGAACCAATTTTCACGCCGCGGGCCAATGGAAGAGCGGTGGCAGCAGAGGGGAAAGCGCCGTTGGCTGCGCGCCGGGGTTTTTTGCTGCCTGTGGGACTGTGATTTGGCTGGGTGCGGAAATGCCAGCCAGGCCACCAATGCGCGTCGAGAGGACTGGTAATGTGCGGCCAGGGCGAGACAGAGACACAAAAGGGCGACTGTGGGAGAGGCGGCGGCTGGCGACTGCGTGGGCGGCTGGCGACGATGCCGACACCGACACCGACGCGGATGGACATGGGCAGCATGGGGGTGCTGATGGTGATGATGATGATGCTGCTGCTGCTGCTGCTGGGGCGGACGCAAGCGACGCACCGCCGCTCGTAGTAGCTCACCGCCGCTGCTGGCCGCTTATTGCTTCTGCGGACGTCATGTTGGCACGCCGCTGGCCTCTTCCCCTGGCAGCGCATTCACTCACACGTACATACATGTGTATACATACATGCACAGATGGGTACGTGTAGTGTAGAGAGAAACATAGTCACAGTCGTCGCGGGCTCAGCCGGGCGGCAGGCTGCGGCTACGGGGGGTGGTGGGCTGCTGCGATGGCCACGGCTCATCACATCCCATCCTGTCCATCCTCTCCCACCCCCCCAGGCAAGCGAGTGGGTGGACGGGCAGGGTGACGCGCAAAATGCAGCTGGTGGCTGACTGTCATAGGGTGATCCCGGCATGCCCTCTAGCGCACCAAGCTTGCGTTTCGCGAATAGAAATCCCCGCCGGCCGCTCCAAATCAAACCTTTGATTCCTCATTCTCCAATCATCCAGCCTGCTCCCCCCATATCGCCCATTGCACTACAGCGCTTGTGTCCTTGACCGTACCCGCCCGAGCGCTGCCGCTTAGTGTTCCCTCGCACGCCTCGGTCAGACAGCACCCTACAAGACAAGACCATTCTACACCCCACAGACACTCTGCCCTCCAGCAAATCAACGCGACTCGTCAACCTTCCAGCCACTGACCATTCGCAACCCTCCGCAACCCGTCCACCGCATAGATCACGGGATCGCATTTCGCTGCGAGTTCAAAGCATCGGTAAGTCAGTCCTATCATTGCGCCCTGATCTGCTGCAACGCGCTCCCTTGTTTTTGTCGTGTGAGTGAGCGCGTGCCGCCCGCCGCCAACTTCGCATACCGCCGCCGCTTCGCCAGGCACGAGAGGTGTCGTCCGTCTCTCCGTCGACGGCCACCATGCCTGGTCGCAGCCCAGCCCAGCGCTCTCTTGTCCACACACAACGCCACGCGATCCGCACCTATTGCTTCAGCCATGCATCGTCACAGGCTCATCTCCTGTTGATGCTTCCCTGGCATTATGACGCGTTGCGCCTTGCTCAGCTCGCCTGCCCGACCCGCTCCATCTCCACTCTGCCTGTCCATCGGCTTACATCGCATTAGGCAAAGGCACCACCACCACCACCACCACCATTACTACCACTACCACTACCACCTCTGCGCTGCGCATTCATAGTCTTGTATCCCGCTCTCTGCCTGCTACTTGGCTCGCGCCTCCTCTGCTCTCATTGCCGTTGCTGCTACCAAACGTGTCAGCTGCACACCTCAATATAGAGCTGCGCCGTCGCTGGTTGCCCTAGCTTTCAGAGCCGCAAAAGGTGACCTAGTCCATCTTGTCCCCGCTACGCCCCTGCAACCCGACCGCACGCGCGATTGAGAGACGCGCATGTGCTGTGCTGCCGCTGATTAAAGTCGGTAAGTGCCTCACCGTCATGCATGCATACACCTGCATTGCCAACGCATCGCCTCCAATCGCCCGCCCCGCCAGCACATGCCACCCTCGACATCCTCCAATTGCCCAAGCATTTGCGTCCTGAGCTAGCTGACGGTTACTCTTAACAGTGTAGACAGTTCTCTGCTTCATTTATGACTGGTGAATACCTGCAACGGTTCTTTCCCCACTACGGCGCGGCCCTCTAGAGCGCGTCGTCAACCTCACCGAGAGAAGCCCCTCTGCCCAGCACGAGCGCACAGCCCCACGACGCTCAATTGCGCCTCAAAGCCTCAGCAGCTTACAACCGTGCGCTCTAACAAAGTCGCCTCAGTTAAGCGTGGCCATTGACAACGCATCAACCATCCGCCCTGCTGCGACGTGACCCAGCGTTCCCGTTTTGCGCGCCTAGATACTGTGATCCTCCCGACATCTCGCCTCTAAACAGCAAACAAGCCTACCTCGGACGCTTCTTTGAATACTCTATTCAGCTACTCGAAGCTGAGCTGCATTGATCCACACAAGACCCCAGCCAGCATCCTATCCACTCTCTCCAAAGTCCCGGGACTTGTACTCCTAGGCCCTGTGGTGATCTCATCTCACCTCTAGGCTCCCACACCAGTCGCATTGCTTCTTGCACTTGCACGCGAACCCTCCGCGCCCAACTCCCCCAATTATCTCCTTTGGCACTCTACCCTTCGTCCGCCGTTGTCAGTTTGCGTATCACCCAGGGTGCGCTAAGCTTGAGCACGGGCCTGCAATACTCGACGTCAAAACCACCGACAGCCTCGTTCGCCCAACATCGCCATCATGACCGAATACGCACAGTTCCAGCAATCCCACCACGGGCACGCGCCTGCGCATATTCAGAGCTACGGCAGCAACCCGAGCCCTGCAGGCGGGAACCCTTCCATAACCTCACCTACGCAGCAGCAGATGCAACAATTTCAGCAGACATCGCCCATCTTGCCGTCACAAGGCTATGGCCATGGCGGCGCGCCGCACCCGCAACATCCTCAGCATCATCAGCAGATGAACTTTCCCCAGCAGCAGTACATGACGGGCATGCAAAATCCGTACCTGGCCTCGCAGCAGCAACAGCAGCAGCAGCAACAGGCAGCAGCAATGGCAACGGCAGCTGCGGCAGGCCCGGCCGGATACTACGATCAAAGCGCTATCCCAGGCCAACTGGCACAAGACCCGCGCGCATCCCCACGCATGTCCGTCTCTCAGATGAAGAATGACGGCCGTGTTGCCCCACGGTCCCCAACCAACGTCAACAATGCTATGAACAGTGCGCTTCCTTCGCAGGTTCAGATGACACCGACTCAGATGCAACAAAGACGGATGAGCACTCAAATCAGCAGCCCTGCGATGCAGCACCCACAGCCCGTCATGAGCCACGGAGGTCCACGGCCTTCAGTGCCCCCGCAAATGGCCCAGCAACCCCAACACCAACAATCACCAGAGCTCGTATCAGGGGGTCCCCAAGTTGAGGAGGCACCTCTCTACGTCAACGCTAAGCAATTCCACCGCATCTTGAAGAGACGACTTGCGAGACAAAAACTCGAAGATGCACTCCGCCTGACATCCAAGGGACGCAAACCGTACCTGCACGAGTCCAGGCACAACCATGCCATGCGTCGTCCGCGTGGTCCTGGCGGACGCTTCCTCACTGCAGAAGAGGTGGCTGCCATGGACAACGGCCAGAAAGGTGAAGGCGAAGACGGCAACAAGGAGAACACATCCATGCCCCCCAAGTCTGGTAGCGCTGGACCGAAGCGAAAGGCTTCGTCTTCCCAACTCAAGGGAACACCAGACGTCAAGAAAAACAAGGCAGGTGCTGTACAGCGTCACAGCACTAGTGAGGATGACGAGGAGGAGGATGAAGATGATGGCGAAGACGATAGCTGAGTAGCTCTTCGATCTGTTTCTCTTTCTTCTTAGGGTAATTCGACTCCTACATGTTTTTTTTCTTCCTTTTCCCCTTGTTAATTTCGACCTTTGGTACTTTCGAGAACCCCACCCCCCTTTTTTCGGTTCACGATTCACGAAGCGAGTGCTTTTGGGATATTTGTTTGTCTTATACTCATGTTACCCCTGTTGTCATCATTGACGCCTTCCACACACACATACACAAATTGTCGTAGCAATGGAATGAGTGGAATGAGGGCTACAGGTATGGCGAGGCGGTCTGAGCATATGGCACTCAGCTTCTGATGAGCCTGCTAGGGTCTTTGGTACTTTGCCATTGTTTTCAAATCTTGTCTACGGACCTTCTGTATATTTCTTTTTATCTTTTCTCTTATGACTCGATACCCACATTCGCTACATGTTTGGCGAGGATACCCAAACTAACGGCCAGGAGAGCCAGTGGTTATACTAGAAAGGGTCTCCTTCATCGGAAGAAAATCAATACCTTTTTTTTTTGCTTGATTGCTTAAGTGCACGATGTTTTTCCTGGCAGTGAGGTGATGTGATTTACATTCTGCATGTTGCGTTACATTGGGTGTGCAACCGACCTGTCACGGAACTGTAAACATGTTGTTGCGGATCCAGTTCCCGCGGGGATCTCTGTAATGGGCCTTGTACATATGTAACTACGCTATTAGCGGGGTTGGTTGGTCTCCGGGGTCCAGATGGATTTGTTGAGTCAGCAAGGCGGTTTTTTTTTCAACGGTACAGCTCACGAAAAGTTTGCGGCAGATGGTTGCCGCAGATATTGATTGGTGGTAGAAGGGGCGGGGTGGATGAGCGCGAACTACTACTAGTCGGAGGTTCGTTGGTGGATTGGTCATTGCTAAGTAATTCAGTGCGGAACTGAGGTGCGGGACCGCAGTTCGGTGACCAAGCGGAGAAGTGCATTTGCGAGGTGTGGGATTCTGCATGCTAGGCAAGAATGGCCAGGGATGCTACGATAAGCATCCTTCTCGTGCCTTCCGTCCAGGTACGCAGTACAATATGTGTCTTCTGCCGCGCCTTACTCCTGTCCGCCATTCCTCACAACAGCGACAAGATGACCAAAGACCCGCCCAGCCGCTCTTCCTCGGACGAGTCAATTCGAGAGGTTCAAGATGAAGAGCGAGAAGCCATCATTGGCGCCGAAAGGAGCGCGCTTGAGGAGGAATGGTGCAACGGCATTCGCTTGAAGGTCGACCTTCGACTATGCAGTATCGCGGGCCTCCTCTGCTCGCTCAATCTGCTTGACAGCGGTGTCATTTCCAGCGCATCCGTTACTTCCATGCTTCGCGACCTGGAGCTCGATGTCGGCAACAGATACTCCGTCTCCATATTCATTTTTACCATTGCAAGCATTGCTTTTCAGCTACCGTCAACAATCGCTGTCAGAACATTCGGCCCGAGAATCTGGTTTTCCTTCATCACCTTCTGCTTTGGCATCATTACGCTCTGCACAGCCTTTGTGCAAACGTGGCGGCAGATGATTGCACTCCGCATCTTGCTTGGTATTGCTATGTCGGGCATCTACCCAGGTCTGACCTATCTTATCTCCACATACTATACGCGGAAGGAGCAACAGCTTCGCTTTGCGCTGATGCAGAGCGGAGAAGTCATTGTGCTTGCAACGGGTGGGATTGTCAACTATGGTCTCAGCCAAATAAATGACACACATCTGAAAAGCTGGTCGTATATGTTTCTCGTGCAGGGGAGTATCACCGCCTTTATTGGTATCCTGACATACTGGTGGATGGTCGACTTTCCAGAGCAAGCACACAAATCCTTCTGGTTTCTCACTCCGCACGAGAGTGCTGTGGCATCAGCTCGCATTGAAAAAGACCGCGGCGATGTCCAGGCCGACCCATTTACATGGAGCAAGGTCTTTGTACACGCCAGAGACCCCAAAGTGTATGGATTTTGTATATTATATTTTCTTCAAAATCTCGTCTCGACCTCACTATCATACTTCCTCCCAATCATTCTACAAGGCGGCATGGGATTCAGCTCCGGCAAGTCCATTTTGCTCTCTGCGCCACCGTACTACTATGCTGTCATTCCAGCTATCCTGTCGTCCCTAGTCGGTGACAAGTTTCAGCTGAGGGGGCCAATCATAGTGTTCAACTGCCTGTCCCTGATTTTGGGCTTCTGTATGCTCGGCTTTTCGAGTCAGGTCACGGTAAGATACATTGGAACGTATCTTGCAACAGGGGCGTATGTGGCCAATTGGGCCGCCATGGCTACGTACCAGGCCAACAACATTGTGGGTCAATGGAAGAGAGTGTTTACGGCTGCAATGGTTACAGCGTTCAATGGCGCAGGTGGTATTGCTGGGAGCTTTATTGTCAGGCAGCCCGAGAGTCCAAGGTACATGACGGCTATCTGGGTTAGCATTGGAAGCCATATTCTTATCATTGGATTGATCGGCGCATTTTCGATCCACTTCTACCGGGCGAACCGAAGCCAGAGCAAGGGAAAGCGCATCTTGGAAGGAACGGAAGGGTTCCGGTTCACGTATTAGAGAGAAGAAGAAAAAAAAAGCTTAAATGTATGCATGACAAGGTGCAGCAGGACGTTGTCGAGCCGGCTTAATATAGATCCAGTCCGCAATTGTCTCGGGAATCCAGCTGCTACTTTCCCTTGTCTCTCAAACTCTATGCATTGATCGGTGTTACACTACGCTACCGGGCGGTTGTATGTACACGTGTATACATATACGTATATACGCATAGACTGCTGACGGCCGTGTTTCGGGCGCAGAGTAAAAAACAAAGGCGACGCGTGAGCAGTGCCATGGCCGACAAGAGTGCTAGACGGGGTTGCGGGAACATGGGACGAAAGCGGGTTGACGTCGTTGTGGGGATCTGGCTGGGCAAGGCGGATTCCATGCTGGCTCGTGCTGCGCGGCTCCCAAGCGTTGACGACCCAAGTTGCAACCATCAGTTTCATTTCTTCTCGGCTGTTAACAGCACGAGCATCCCCGCATTGCCGGTTGGTTGTCCCCAACATCGTCTTCACCTTCTCTCCAAGCCCGACACAAGATTTCCTGGTCTCTACGTTGCTGGCCGCCGACTAGGCAGCCCCGACCAGCTTGCCCCTGTTCCAGCTGGCCCCTCGAATCGCAGCAGCAACTCCCCGTAGCCTTCCGCCGGCCCAGCTGTATGCGCATATTCACCGACGACCAACGCCTCTAACCCTTCTTTCCGACGAGCTCGATTACCGCATAGAAGCCGCGCCGCGCCTTGTACCGCCACAATGGTCTTCCTGGGCATATACCGTGCCCTCTACGACTATGAGCCCCAAAGTAGTAATGAGATTGCCTTGACCGAGGGCGACATTTTGATGGTCCTGGAGAAGTCCACCGACGATGACTGGTGGAAGGCCAAGAAAAAAGGACGCGAAGAAGACGAGGAGGAGCCCGAGGGCTTGATCCCAAACAACTACATTGAAGAGGTGAGTCGTGTCTTTGGTACCCAATGGGGACCTCGGCTCGGCGTGGCTTGAGGCACACGTCCACGACAACGCCACTGCTTGTCTCGCAGATGTATTTCATGGCCACACAACTGACCACGTATACAGGCCGCCCCCATTGCGCAAGCCAAAGCCCTGTTTGACTACGACCGCCAGACGGACGAGGAGCTGTCGTTCAAGGAAGACGCCCTTCTTGATGTCTATGACACCACGGACCCAGACTGGACGTTGGTGGGTGTGGAAAGCGACTATGGGTTTGCACCGGCCAACTACATTGAGCTCATCAAGGGCAAAGCTGCCTCAGCCGCACCCACTGCATCGTCCCCGGCGGCGCCAAGTCGCCCACCAATGCCCCCAGCCGCCGACTCCTTTGACGACTCTCAGCCGCCTACCCCAGATAGCCCCGCGCAACCAAGCCCTGCTGCGGCACTCGCTGGCATCATTCAGAAGAAGTCTCAGGAAACCGCGCCGCGATCGACCATTTCGCCCCCACCCAACGTTAGCGCGCCTCAGCGACGACGCGTGCAATTCACGCCCGAAGAATCCGACGACGAAGCGCCACCACCTAGTCTTCCTCAACGGCGAGTATCCGAAGCGGCCTCTCATCCGCCTACCCAGTATGCAACAGCGCGATCCCCGTCCCCACCGGCCAGATCACCTCCCCCTCGAAGTGTCACGTTTGATAAATATGATCCACCAAGCAGAGAAGAGCAGCCAACCACTCCAAGGTCGGCCTCGGGATACCGTCTCTACAACATTTACGAGTACATTACGCAGCCGGGCAAGAACAAGAAGATGCCCATGACATTGGGTGTCAACATTCCCAAGGGCATGATCATGATTGCGCCAGAAAAGTCACGCGACGGGCCGCAACAAGAATGGAGTGCCGAAAAGATGGAGTACTATTCGCAGGAGGGCAAGCACATCTTCATGGAGCTCAAGCAGCCGAGTAAAAGCATTGACTTCCACTGCGGAGCCAAGGACACTGCGTCAGAAATCATGATGGCTCTTGGTGAGCTCGCGGGAGCTGCAAAGAGTGCGGGACTGCGGGAAGTGCTTGCTGCTGGCTCCGGACACTCCAATGTACAGAAAAAGGGAGTCATGTTATTCGACTTTATGGCACAGGGTGATGATGAGGTAACTGTTGGTCTCGGTGACGAGATTCTAGTACTCGATGATTCAGCTAGTGATGAGTGGTGGAAAGTCAGGCGGCTGAAGAACGGCAAGGAAGGTGTCGTGCCAGCTAACTACGTCGAGATTACAGAAACCGCGTCCGTACCTGCTCCTGCTGCCTCGATCGCTCGTTCCGGGACCAATGCTGGCCGATCTATAGTTGAACAGAACAGGCGGGAAGAAGAGGAGTTGGCTCGCCGGGCCGCAAGACAGAAGAGGCCAGAAAGTGAGGCGAGGAACGATCAGGTAGGCCCTGGCCTGCACTTGCCTTCGCGTAACTCTAGCCTTTTGCAGACAAATATTGACCAGCGTCGTGCCTCACAGAGAACAAGCAAGCGCGAAACCTCCTCCAAAGACTCGAGTTCGAAGTCCTCGTCCAAGCCAAGTGAGTACATTATTATACCAAAGGTTGAGTTGTCAGCGGTGCGAAATGCTCTGATGCATTTGCCTGTGGGCGTATTCCTCAATGGGGCTGTGACGTCTTAAGGTGTTTTAAATACTAATCGATATGTGCTAGACCCCGCCAAAGTGCGCACCTGGACCGACCGATCTGGCTCGTTCAAGGTTGAAGCCGAATTTATTCTTATCAAGGATGGCAAGATTCACTTGCACAAGGTCAATGGTGTGAAGATTGCAGTACCCGTCACAAAGATGTCTGTCGAGGATCTTGAATATGTCGAGCGCGTCACAGGCGAATCTCTGGATGACGACAAGCCTTTGTCTGACTTGAAGAGAAAGACCATGCAGCGATCAAAAGACGGACGTTCTCCGACTGGGTTGTCGGTTGAGAAGAAGCCCGAGTACGACTGGTTTGACTTCTTCCTCAAGTGTGGTGTCAACCCGCAAATATGTGAACGTTATTCTCGGGCGTTTGTAAAAGACGAAATGACCGAGGAGAATATTCCAGACATCACGCCGTCGCTTCTGCGTACTTTGGGTCTCAAAGAGGGCGATATCCTCCGTGTGTCCAAGTACGTAGATGCCCAGTTCGGGCGTAACAAGCAAAACGCCGGCTCTGCAGAGGACAATGGAGAGGGAGCGTCTGGTGGACTATTCTCTGGACCCGGAGGTGCACTTCGTAACAACACCCGCAAGGGACGTCCTGCACCTCCTGTGGAGACCAACGATGTGGTGGATCCAAAGGCATTCGAGACGAAATCCGACGACGCTGGAAAGAAGCCTGTAGAGAGTGCTGCAGCTTCTGCAGGTACATCGGACGCCAAGGCGAACGGATTCGACGACAATGCCTGGGATGTCAAGCCATCAAAGTCGGCACCTGCTTCTGCTCCAGAAAAGTCTGCGTCTCCACCTCCAGCGCAGTCTGCACCTGCTGCAAAGCCACCTCAGTTGACTGGAGCTATGGGCGAGCTGTCCCTCTTGGATATGCCCGCCCTCAAACCCGAGGAGATTGCTCAGCCAACACCTCCTGCACCTGCGCCTGCTCCACAGGCAGCACAGGCACCCGCTCCACAGCAGCAGCCACAGCAGACAGGAGCTACTCCAACTCTGTTCGAGCAGGTTGCAGCTATCAAGGCCTTGACTCAACCTCAGAACATGGCACCACCACGCATGCGTCCACAGGCTCCTCAGCAGCAGAGTGCTGGCGGTCTGCTCGCTCCACCACCTCCACGTGCAGCCTCAGCTCCGCAGAACCCGCAACAGAGTGCGTTTGGTCCGCCACCACCTCTGCAGCCTCAGCTTACTGGCTACAACCCCAACATGATGACTCCAAACGTTGGACAGGGGCAGGGAATGCAAGGAATGCAAGGCATGCAACCGCAGATGACTGGGTTCCCCCAACAAAATGGAGCATACGGGTTCCAGCAGAACGGCATGATGGCGCAACCAACGGGATTCAATTCCATGTCGCCGGCACCACCGCAACAGCCCATGCAAACTGGGTTTGCGCCATTTCAGCAGCCTCAGCCTACAGGGTTCCAACAACCAATGGCGACGGGCTATCAGCAGTCACCGCACTTCACCCAAGGGTTTGGTAACGGCAGTCCGTTTGCGGATCCCCCAATGGCACCTTTCCAACCACTGCAGGCCCAGCCGACTGGATACAATTCGTTCCAGCCAGCACCGCTTAACCCGCAAGCGACTGGTGTCAACCGCTTCTTGCCTCCGGCAATTGTGCCGCAGCCGACGGGCTTTGGTCAGAGCCCACCACCGGTACCTCCGATGCCGCCTATGCCGGGTATGCCGCAAGCACAGCCTTTAGTGCCGCAAAAGACTGGACCTCCCCCAAGCATCAAGTTTGGTGTTCAGCCTGCGAAGAAGCTGACAGCTCAGCCAACGGGACGGGCGAACCTCGCCAATGCTAGTAAGTGGTTGTATTTGATGATTGATGGCCGTGTTGCTAACTTATTTACTAGCTCCTCAGAACCCCTTTGGCTTTTAAGCTTTTTGGTGTATTATTGGCATGGATGTACCAGCGCCCTCTTTCATCTCTTGCCCTTTTTTGTTTAGATGAAGGCGGATACAATTAATCATTCTACCTCTACGTGTACTTGTACATAATTTTGCTATCGTGGGGCGTGGTTGCGGGTTGGAAAGAGTTGGATGGATTCTGCTCTGGCGCAGAAGGGACCCACGGCATATTTTGAGTTTACTTTTTTATTTCTTTACATAGCGCATACTAGCATGTCCGTGCCTCCTTGGGAAGTAATTGTTAAAGTTCTCTGAACGCATCTGGGCAATTGATTGAGGATGCGGGTGGAAGAGGAGTGGCGCATGGGATGGTGGGTGAGCAAAGGGAAATCGTGGGAAAATGTACAGCTAGGATGGATAATGGAAATTACAAAGGTTGACAAGAGCTCCAGCTAAACGCGTTCTGCCGTGACGACTGGGGAAAGGAGAGATGCAAGGGACATGTACACTGAGAGATTGCAGCTAAGCCCTGTGCAGCCCAGTATCGTTCAGATTAGAGCTGTTGTCAGGGACGAGGCGGGGCGCAGGCGAGACTGGGATGAGACTTTGGCACCAAGCCTTTGCCAAGTAAAGCTTAGTTTAGCGTATCCCCCGACAGCCCATGTCACGGCATCTCACGCGGTTTCTTCCTACCGACATGACATGTACGGGGTGCATAGCAAATTCACATATAAGGGGGTCGCGTGGCTCAGACCTCGAGCGCGCATCTCTCTTGTTGGTTTTGGTCAGGCTTCGCAAGGGAAGAGGCATCTTCTGGTACTGCTGCAAGACCACATGTATGTGTTTAATACTACCACGTATGTACGACGTAGCCACAAGCCTCAAACACAGATGAAGAGGCGCAGCGCAGTCGCGTATTGCTGTGTCGGCCCAATGAGCAAAAAGGCGCACAGTGACAGATGATTGAAGCATGGGTGGAGCTTGTGGCGATGACGAGTCTCGGCCAGTTTTGCGCCAATAGAAGCGCACATAGCATGTGGCTTATGCCCCAACGGCCGAATGATGCGTCGCAGCGCCGCTGTGCTGCGTGCGCGTGAGATGGATGGGGATTATAGTGGCTAGGCCATGTTGTGGTAAGCATTAGCTTTCCCCTCTTCCGGGCCCGGCGGCTTCTTAGCTATAATCTTCTTTCCTCCTTTCCTTCTTCTTTCCTCACCCACTCTTCCTCTCTCTGTCTTGTCTATCCCCACTTCCAACCCAACAATCTCACCAAAATAAAACTCGGCGCAATCATCAATTGCTAGCAACTCTTACCCATCAGCTTTTTTTTCCTCTGCGCGACCCTCGTAGCGATCAAAACGCTGCTGCTCCCGTAAGCATACAATAAGCCGTCGCGGAAACCTCGGGATTGTCCCTTTTGTCGCTCCTACTTGATACGAGCGCTCTACACACATCCACAAACAAAACTCGACACGAGCGAGCTTTGAGAGTCTAAGAAACTATCCCATTTTCATCTCCAGACGCACGACGCAACAATGTCCAACCAAGGATACTATCAAGGCCAAGGCGCTCCTCAGTACCCCCAGCAAAGGTACGTTTCACCCTGCTTCTCGCCGCGCTTGTTATTTGGGGAATCCCTTTTAGCAAGTGTTGTTGGAAGAGAGAAATAATCCGCAAGAGCAAAGAAACTGACTTTTTTTTTTCTTCAAAATAGCTATGGCCCTCCCCAAGGTGCCAACTACGGCCCTCCACCTCCACAACAAATGATGTACGGACCTCCGCAGGGCCAGGCCCCACCACCTCAGAAAGAGAAGAAGGACAGGGGATGCCTGGCTGCTTGGTATGTTGCTCCTCTTTCTTTTGTTCATTTTGCGTGTACACTCTTCGAGAGAACGACGAAGATAAAAGAATTCAAATTACCATTCCCACTTCAAACGCTAACTTGGAGAATAGCTTGGCCACCCTGTGCTGTTGTTTCCTGTGCGAGGAGAGCTGCGAATGCTGTCTTGAATGCTGCGAGTGTTGCGCAGATTGCTGCTAGATGACGTCTCGATGCAGTGTGCGATGAGATTAGAGGAATGAACGGGTTTCAATCGATTGGTGCCATGGGAAGGTCATCAAGTCTGAATTATGGCTTTTGAGGATTCTGGACGCATCCCCAAGGTGATGTGGTGTCTTCATTTGCTTTTTTTTGTTTCATCATTCAAAGATACACATTACTTTGTTCTGGGGGGAAAGATACCTTTGTACTTGTTTTCTACGCTTTTCTCCTATATAATACAAATTCACGGTTTGCTCCGGTGAATCCTTTTTCCCAATTCGTTTCTGACGTCAGTGGGTAGCTGTTGAACTCTCGCGCGAGTAGCTGTTCCTCTCTTGTTTACCGGCTCCTTTTATTAATTCATTCTACCGCAATGTTCCGCACGTTTGCTCTCTCATGCTGGATGTCCAATCAATCACACATCAATTGAACGGGTTTACTTTTACTTTCTCATTAGCGCGGCCAATGAGAGTAAACCGGATACTAAGGCTACAGCCCTCTCACCCTGACTCACTCACTGGTCGCACACACTTGATTATCTCTCACTTACAGTGCACTGTCATATAAAAGACTCTCCTGCCCTTGCGGCTCTTGGGTCAAGCTCCTTGTCACGAACATTGACACGACAAGTCGGAATATGGATCGACCAAAGTACTGTGCTCTTTCCCTATTGATTGGCGATTACAGAATTGCTGACTGATGCGTTAGAGTTATCAAGCGGCGACGCAAGACTCCGAAGCCCTTCAGTTCTACTCTGAAGCTCAGAAAGAAGCTGCCCAAGACCGAAATCGGTGAGGACTCGGATTTGACGCAGATCTCCAAACGCAACGCGGTTGAGTCGCCGCTTCTCCGCCTTCCAGGCGAAATACGCAACATGATCTGGCAGTATGTACTGAGCAACCATTTCATGTCGATATATGAGCAACCCGGGGGGTCCATAAGAGAATATGTACGTTCCACAGAAAACAACAAACTCACTCCGGTTTCTTTGGGGAAGCGTCTTCTCAGCGCGAGTCGCCAGATATATGAAGAAACGTCAAACATGGTATATTCACTCAACACAATCAGCTTAAACCTCAGGTTCACCCTTGCTTCCTTTGTCAGTCACAGCACACCCGAGAAACTCCGCCTTATCACTTCAATCGAAGTGCCCTACGACTATATAAAGTGTATAAATTAGGGTATTGCAAGAAGTTCCATGAGATATTTCCAAATATCAAGCATATTTCCATCGATGATTATTTGATCGGGCACTGACATCATATCAAAGACTTCTTTTGGACTCCCCATGACATGGCCGAGAAGGGAAAGAAGAAGGCTGAGGATTTTATAAGGAGTAGGGAAGGACGAGATCTTGAGATTTCTTGGTATTGTGATTCGGATGGTTGGTGTTGGTTGGTATGTTTGTCTCCTAACACTAATAACTCTCTGGAGTTGGTATATGTGCATGCATATCCCATGACCCCCGGTCCTTGGTCATAAAGGAGGCAGATGGTCAATTTTCCACTACCCGCTACCAGGTGCTTGGCTTCAGACTGGGACTTCTTTGCATTTATATTCATGACCAAAACAGATTTTAGAGGTTTTACCACTAAGTTACTCCGCGTGAGAACCACCCTTCGTAAAATATTATGAACTAAACATTGAAACTACGCCAGTGCTGGTAATGTGTAACGGGGGTCCAATCCACCCCTCCCCCTCCTCTTTGCCGTTTAAGATGTATACTTGCTCCCCCCCTTCTCCCCTTCTCTCTTCTCTTGTATCCTCTCTCTTTCGCAAGCTCAGTGCAGGAGCACTGTAAGCTATCTATTATCCATTATCAAATCTTCTTTTTGTTGCAACAAGGTCGCTTGCTTGCTTGTGTTTGTTCCTCTAGAGCGCATGTGGTCCTGGCGTGTGCTTAGATTGGTGTATCTGCGCATCGATGCATGGGAAGCAACTGAGAAAGTATCATATGCTCCTTTCTATATGTGATGGCGTAACGATGGGGAATTCGTAGGCTGTGTTCGCAAGCCGGGCGGAAGTACGGAGATGGGGGTGTGTCGTTCGAGTTCGGTTCGTGGTCCTTGGTCACTTCCTTGATTGACGGCGTGTATGTTGATGTCGTTGGTAGGAGCGGTGAATCGACACGGCTTGTTACTCTCCCAGACGCACTCAGTGTTGATGATTCCAGCCTAGGTCTTCGTGGTATCCCTCTGCAGGGGGGCTACACTAAATCCAAGCGAGCCGTTCGGAATGATGGTCGAGATAGTATCGTAGTCATGACGTTGGCCATAGTCGCAGCGTTACAGTCCCAGGGAAGGAACGCAGTCCTCGCCCTCACATCAACGACTGCCGTAATCGGAATCCCGTATCACCCCCTCTTCTGTACGACACATCTTTCCTCTACTCACGCATCCCTCTTTATTTTCTCAACTTCCAACAATTCATCTCACCCTCAAACGGTATACCGCTCTTGCATCATCATCTCCGCCTCATCCCTCTTCGCAAGCACAAACGCAATCTCCGACCCCACGGCTACCACGACTGTCGCCACCATCCCGATCGGCGCTCCGATAGCCCCAAACCCCAAAATGGTAAAGCAGGTATACCCCGTGAAAATAGAAAGGTACATTACGCGAAAGAAGAGCAAGAAAAGGTCATCGCGTCTAGGCTTCGTCATAGTCACCAAAGCGGGAATCTTACAAAGAACAAAAAGAAGAGGTTGCAGCAAAGTAAGGAACTGGCCCTTACATGAAAGAAGAAAAGTAAAAAAGTAGAAAAAACAAAAGGCGTTCAGCTCCGTATCCCATCCGAACACCCACCACTACCACTACTACAGACCCCAGGTTTGCCAGTCTGACCTTGCTAACTATGTTTCTTTTTTTAGATACGAGACTGCCCGCTGCAGTTTGACGTTTGAATGTGTCTAGACTAACTAGTCAGCAGCCAGTGAGAAAGACGACGGATCACCCCCTGACCCAGCGAACAAGACCCAAAGAGGAACGATGGAACAATTGAATATTATTGTCAATCGGGAAATAATAACATATAGGGACGGGTAGCCGCCCCAAAAAGTTATTGATATACTGACTCGCGCATTCTTCAAACGGGGAGGGACAATCCTTGGGGTGGATATCTGTGTGTGTGTGTGCCCCACTGTCACGCACTTGAAGGGGCGTTCAGCCTCTTACTGCAAAGACGCGTCAGCCTTTTCTTTTGCTGCACTGCTCTCAGCCCGCAGGGCCGCGACATAATCAGTGTGTAAAGCTGGCGAGGTTTGATTGGTCTTGTTCCAATTGTCTTGTTCTCGGCGTCTTCATTCCATCTGTTGTTGTTTTGTTCAACAAGGCCATGTCCAAAACAGGCACTACTAAATCGTGTTGAAACACAAGGGTCATTGCAATAGCGCTCGGGCCATGTCGGTTGCGAGGTTTTTGGCAGACTGTCAAACAGTGTCAAACTTTGAGTGGGTTGCTATGGATCTACTGAATTGCTATTTTCGGGTTTCGTCCTATCAAACAGATGGGAGGGGTTTGGAGGGTTTGGGGGGGAAGGGAATACGTAAAAAGGTCCGATTTGCAGCTGTTGTAGTACCGAAACTTTGTATGCATTACCGACATGAGCCATGTGGATGGTTGGTCTACGCATACGCAAGAAAGCTTTCGTGGAGCATACGGTGTCGTAAGATCGATTTGCTGCTAGTATTGTGTGGCGGATGCGGGATACGTAAACATGCAGGTCTTGGTATCGTGTATCGAAAGTCATGACCGCACGAACATGGATCATGGTGGCAATGCTATGCACATGGTAGGAAATCAACGTGTACCACCATGTAAACCCTCAAACGTGATCAAGACATTGGTGTGGTGCGATCTGCAAATGCAGGCAAGATTCAGATTCCCGGGCTTGACTACAGATCTGCCCTACTTGGAAAAATACCAGCAACCCAAGTCTACCATCCCTCGCCATTCTCACCCAACTTGAATAGACCATTCTTCTTCTTATCAGCAGCCCACCTCTCACACCACACCTTCATCTTCTCCCTGCTGCTCGCGTTTCCCACATTGACTGTTGGTATTATCTTGTCGATATTCAGTGCACAACAGAACATGGTCAGCTCCCTGAAGCTGCTGTGCTCACTGTAGGGTACTCCAAAGCAACTCGCCCGGCTCCCGCTACCCGCTTGCGGCTTTAGATCTTTCATGGCAAATGTGCTTTTCCAGTTATCCGAATGTAGGACGGTTTGCACTTGAGGCGATTCAGTGAAGCGACCTTGAGGTGGACGATAGTTCCAGCCAGATGGTCGAAAACCAATAACACGTGAAAAGGTATCAGCGTAACTACGTAGATAGTCATCCAACGTCTCTGCTCGAATCTCAAAAAGTGGTGTCATATGCACCTGAGCAGCACGAGGATCGGTAGTCAGCAGCGCATCTAGCTCAGGGTCTTCAAGGGCCTTGCAGATGCGTTGCTTGTTGGCGGGGGCGTATATCTTGCTTTTCAAAGCTTTGGCGATGCCCGTGCATATGCGTTCCTTGCCAATGCTGTATGTGCCTACCACGACAAGAAGGCGACCCCGCTCAGGACTCTTCGGCTCCGATGGGTTCTCCGGATTAGAGTCCTTTTGTACAAAGTTGACCATACCTTGCCCGGCCCGTTTTCGCTTCATCTTCTCCCATCCGTCCGACTCATCGGCACGAGTCTTGCTGAGGCTAACGCACATGTCTGCGCAAGCCTGAATGACCTGCTGTTGTGGTGGGAAGGCGTACTTTGGGTTGAGGTAGGTGGTGTCAAGGTAGCATGCGTCGAGCTTTTGCTGTCTGCTCTTTCCACTGACAGCGTCTAGTACGTCTGGTCGAAGTAGTGGATGCTCGACATGTGCTTGGCAAGCGCGGAAGTCTCCGCAGTGTAGGACTCTTTGCAGCTTTTGGTTGTTCCCTTTGCCGACTTCCTTTTCAAACAGGAAAAGAGAGCTACCTGGACAGTGGTTTGCTGATATCATCGTCACGAAAACGCCTCCAGTCCCTGGCACTTCGGTCTTCACCTCAAAATCTAGGTCGACCACCCATTTCGGGTCAACCCGAAGTTGCTGTCGGACTAGATTGCCTGTAACTTTACTGCAATAAATGGGGCCGTGCTTCCAAGATGCACTAAGTCCAACGTAGTGATCACTGTGAAAGTGGCTGAGAAAATAAGCGTTTTGGCCCTTGACAGCACCATAGCGAAAAGCATCGACGGCAATAAAAAAGCCCGGCATGATCTTGTAGAATGGACAGGTGCGCTGGTAGGCTGGCTTGCCTCGCGACTTGTTATTCTCAGCTGCCGCACTTGCCCATGCTGCATCTTCGGCATGGCCAGCCATGAGCTTTGAAAACGCAGAGCTTGGCTGAGTGTTGGGCTTCGCAAGCTGAAATGGGTTTGCTTGGCCGGGTTTCGCTGGTCGCTCTGGTCGCTTGAACATCTTTACACTACTGGCAGCGGTTGGTTTGCTTTCCTGTTCTATCTTCGCTGTGGGGAGCGGAAGTGGCTTGCCGTCCAGGCACGCGTTGACGTGAACAGACACATCTTGTTCTGACAGTCCAGGGAGACTATTACCGCATATTGGACATGAAGGTACATTGGTATCGTTTTCTTCCGTTTCCTGTTTGATATCCAGTGCATCATTTTCGGGGAACAGGAAGGGCGCCTCAGAGTCGTCTGTATCGCCCTCCATCTCCAGCCTCTGTTGTTCCTTCATCCAACGCCTTTCATCGTATTCTTCACCCTCAAGCAAATCGTCATCCTCAAGACCTTCGTAGTCCTCGTATTCCTCATCATCGGGGATAATTGTGGGTTCTGGCTTAGGTGAGGGGGTGCGGGCTATTGAAGGTTCAATGCTTTCCATGGGTATCGGATCCTCGGTCTCTTTAGCAATTGGTGACTTTGCACTATTTCTTCGCATAGCCATACCTGGACTTGTAGCAGGCATCTCCGCTTCGTCTTCGGACTCCGAATCGTCTACAAAGGGACCTGATCTCTGACGCGGCTTCGACGCTTGTTTGGGTGCATGAACTGCAAGAGCATCCAGAGCGTTGCTCTCAGCATCCGCCGGTGGGGGCGACGAACAGGCTGGAGGTGGGGCTACTGGTTCTTCACTGACTTTGCGCCGCTTGATGCTGCCACCATTCTCATTATACCGATCCTCGCTGCCCGAGTCCATGACGCCATTGTTCTTCTCGTCGCTCCAGCCAACATCCTCCTCATCGTTTTCGAGCGCAACAGTTGGATTTGAGCCTCTTTCCTGTAGGAATATGCGGTTGTTGATCTCTTCGGCCTTCTTGAAGAACGTCATAATGTTGCCATTGGGCGTCCCTGCTGGCTTCTGCTTCTTGCCATTGCTCGCAGAAGTCGACTTCTTGGCAAAATCAGCAGGCGTGAGCGTAGTCTGAATGACATTCTTCTTTGGCGGGGGCGTATTTGTGCTCGGCTTGGGCGTTGCTTTCTTTGTCGCGGTTTTAGTGGCCATGGCTGCGTTGCTTGACGAAGAGCGGGGCGGCGAGGGGGGCCGTCCAGTTGAGGGGCTCAATTTCGACGACTCGGACAGCGTGCGGTTCTCTCGAGGATTCCTGAACATGAGAATGGCTGTTCCACATAACCGAGCGTCGCTGCAATGCTGTTTGGTCTATGCTGTGGGTTTGCCCCAGTAGCTGAGTGGCGAGCGCATCGGTTCAAGGCGCGCCAAGATAAACGCGTGGACACGTGAGCGTCATGCACGCTTGCCACTTTACGTCTATTCCCTATTGTATGTAATGGCGAGGAACCTCCATACCCACGTCCTTAAACAACGAATACTTTTGGTGAAGTCGAATCGAGGCAATACTAGTTTATTGTTTTTTATTTACAACTTCTCCAGTAAGCGCAAGTGAGGAGGTAATTCAATGTTCAAGAGAGCCAACGTGATGTCGCCTATTTCTCACTTGTTAGTACAAGTCCGCAAAAATGAATTTTGTAGGGATATAGTAAACCTATCCTAATTTTTATGGCACATACGACCATAGGCGAAAAAATCCCTCTGGATCCCGTCCGTTCTCCACACGATAAACTTTCGACCGGCGGATTAGTAGTTAGGTGGGAGACCACTAGCGAATCCCCGCTGTCGTATGTTTTTGCAGTATTTTTTGAACTCGATCCCAAGATCACGTGACGGGCCTTAGTATATTCCGTAGTATTAAAGTACCCGAAGGCAGTCTACTAGGTAGCCAGCGGAAGTAGAGGAAGGGGGGCGATGGTAAAACTTCGGATTACGTGACATATTATCGAATAGATGGTTTTAATATATTATGTGCCTACCTTAAGCAATGACTACTTTGTCGTAATAAGAGGATACTTAGCCTTAAGCTATACTTATTAAAGAGATTGAGACGTAATATGACGGTATTACGAAGGGTTTAACCCATCCGATGTCTTCCCAAGAAAATCTCCCCATCTACTCCACTGCCCCTACTTCCACTGGCTATCTATAAACTACCTAAACTACAGAGTTCTAATACTGACTGTATATATTACATGTTTAATGATTAGTACTTTCTATTGTTGGATATAGAAGCGCTCGTACTCGTTTGGCGATATATATGATCTACCCGACGACAGATCCACATCTACCCGCGTTCTCTAGAGGCTCCGCGGACTGCAGAGTGCCTTAATCCTTATTTCGGTATTTCGGCATAGTTCTTGTCACACAGAGTATCGAGTGCCGTCTTGGGAGCTGCCTAGCTAGGCAAAATCTTACGGTTATCCTGTACCTACTACATGTTGATGACAGGATTGCTGTACACTCATGCGGTCTTTGAATCCTGCTAAAAGCAAATGCTCCCCCGTACCTACTAATCGCTTTCACAGCTTGTTAGGTCTGAGTGGATCAACGCGGCAGTTCAATCAGTTCTCCCTTTCGCAGTCTTCCATTTTTACTGTAAGACATTCCTGTATGAGCGGGATTCTGCTACTTTGAGGGTGTCTCACAATCCTACAGCTCATCAAGAGCGAAGAGCGTGCATTCATCCTACGATAGTATGCGCTTTGCCCATTTGATCTTGTCTTACAGGCAGAATGCATGCTCAGCCTGATGAACATGAAAGGCCGACTATTGAACTGCCCCCTTGGCACTGTATTGGCAGCCTGATTCTGCAGATCTCATGTTATAGAGTGCCAGGATGAAGGAAATACTAGTAGGCTTCTCTCAAGCTGTCCATCCGCAGCACTAAAGTAACCTGAAGCGGCCCACAAACTACCCAAACCACAGAGTCCCAACATCATGATTGTTGTGTTTTCAGCCAAAAGGGGTGTCTTTGGTCATGTTGATTTGACTCTTGAGGCTATAGTTAAGCTTGGAGTAAAGTGACATGCTCGATCGACGTTTTATGTAGATCCTCTAGCATGTCGACTACGTAGGCTCCACCACAACACTGTCAAAGTACACATCCTCTTCTATCAGACTCCCAGGAGAATCGCGCGTAGATAGCTATGTATTCGCAATAATTTCAACGGCCTCTTTACCATTGCCGAGGTCCAAGCCCCACGTCTCCCCACATCTTCTCCACATCTCCATTCAGGACTCCGGGGAAAGTAATGCCAAAGTGAATATATGTATCACAACATGAAAAATGCCTGCATGAATGCAACCCAGCTCTCCGAAGCTTTACAAAATCACACAATCAACACCGCAAAGCCATGTGCTCACCACCAGACCAACTCTACCATCCCACTTTGAAACAAGCCTTCCGCGGCAAACTCAACTCGTCAACACTGGAATTTTTCAACTTAAAATATGCACGCATACCAGCCCGCTACCAGGATTCCATATTAAACGATGAGCCGCTGAAGGCAGGAGCAGACGGCGTGGTAGACAATACTCGCTTCGGCCCCTCATGTCCCCAACACCGCGCAGCCCAAGCATGGGATCTAACGCTGATCGGCAGCGCGAAACTCAGTTATGCCCAGGGCCAAGGCCCCACAGAGAGAATGGACGAATTCGAATGTCTAAACTTGAATGTCACAATGCCAAAACCAGGTCTTGGCAATGCTCCTACAACGCCAGGGCGCAGGCACCTACTCCCAGTCTTTGTATGGGTTCACGGCGGCGGGCTGAGTATGGGATCGAATAATTGGCCGCAGTATCAGATGCAGCGGTTCGTGGAGCGTAGCGTGGAGATTAGAAAGCCCGTGATTGGGGTTGGGATAACCTATCGCGTTAACATGTTTGGTTTCCTCGCGGGCGAAGAGATTGGGTCGCGGGGGAACATCGGATTCAAAGACCAACTGCAAGCGTTTCGGTGGATCAAACGACACATTGCGGGGTTTGGGGGCGATCCGAGTAATGTTACTGCGGTGGGAGAGTCGGCAGGTGGGATATCGCTTTCGACGCTGCTTTGTGCTAATGTGGGAGACGAGGGGTTGTTTGAGAGAGTGGCGCTGATGAGTGGTGAGGTAACGGTGAGGAAGTGGCGGAATAGGTGGTGGCAGCAGAAGATGCTGGAAGATCAGTCCTCGCATCTGAAATTGGAAAGAGGGGATGCCGAGAGCAGAAGGAGGGCACTGCTCGAGACAGATGCGGAAGAGCTGGCCCAGAAGATGCCAGTGGTACAACAATGGACTATGGCCGTTGATAATGAGTTTTTCACCTCCCGAGTGACAATCGAGTCGGTCATGGACGGGAAGAGCGAGGTGCACAAGCCTTCTTGGTGCAAGGAGATTGTGGTAGGAGACACGGCGCATGATGGCACTGTTCTCAAGGGCAGGATTCTCGACCCCCCTGATGCGTTGGGTCGACTCAAACAGGCATGTTCAAAATACCTCACGGCATCTGAGACGCAGAGTCTTCTAGCCGTGTACAATCTGAAAAGACCGTTGCCAAAGAAACAAGAGGCAGAACGACTACTCGAGCTGGTCGGCGACCTGCGCTTCCACTTGGCAGCACTGTCAGCATATCGAGGCTGGAAAGCTGCTTCCCCACCAAGACGCGCTTCACGGTATCATTTCCATGTTCCTAATCCTATTGACGGTCCGTTCAAGGGCCTATCTTCTCACGAACTCGATGTCGCGTACCTTCTTAATAACTTTGAAGAGCATCTAGACGAGCACAACAAAAGGGTTGCGCGGGCAATGCAGGACCATTTTATTAGATGGGCCAATGGTGAGGGATGGGCCAAGGAGGGTAAGGTCGTAGTGTTTGATGGTAATGGAGTAACAGAAGTTGACGAAGATCGTTACGATGCCATCTATCGTAATGGAAGAGGTGCAATATTAGAAGATATTGGACTGACCAAGCTGTGGCACGTTGCCGACGTGTGGCAGGGTATACGGCAAGAGGAAGAAGAACTTATCGAGTCGAAACTATAGTCAACGTAATGCTATGAATTGTGTTGGTAGATAACTGGCGTATAATTTCATCAACATGCTATAGTTCAATCAATAGTACAATAATTTTTGACCCAGACCAATACGCTGCTTTAGCTCATGCTTTGAAGAGAACTCTATGCTACATCGACAAATGCTCGCTTCTTCCTGTTCTTCTTCTCTTCCTCCAGCTTATCCACATCTTCCCATCTGACCAACTGTGCCTCATCCACTCTCTCGCCCACAAATCTCATGGCTGCAACATTGAACCCAATCAGGTCCTTGTTACCCATCAACGTACTCCTGAGGTCGTTGCGCATACCTTCAATTACAGTCTTCAACTCTCTGCTTGCAACAATTTGCTTTTGATGCGTCTTTAGCATGAAAAAGAGAACCCGGCACGTCAGGGTAATGTTCCATTGCTTGCGCACCCAGATAGCGAGAAAGGTAAAGAGAGCAGGCAGGGAAGAAAAGGGCAGGACAAGGAGTGCGTCATGGAGTTGTGCTGCGGGAATCTTGGCAAGAGTGTTGAGGACATGGCGTTCGGCTGATATGTTACCGAGAGCCAGGAAGAGCGGATCGCGCTGCGGTGGTGCAATCTTGGGGTTGGACTTCTTCTGAACCTCCCAGTCACGAACAACCTCCAGGTCTACCATGCCCAGATCCAGGGCTTCTTGGATACGTTCACCGGCCGTGAGAGTGGTAATGGTTTGTTTGCTGGCGTCGACGGCTTCAGCGCGTTCACCGTTGGGATCTTCCTCATCTTCTAGATTTGTTGCCAGTGTCTTTTCGTACATTTCTTCCAATTCCCTTTCTCTCTCTTCCTCGAGGAAAATGGGCTCATCTGATTTTGTCCAGATACGTATGCTCTTGTCGTGGCTGGCTGTGACGATAAAGTCACCGGTCCGCGCCACGGTCATGGCCCAGATCTCACCGTGGTGGCCCTTGAACTTCTGAATC